ATGGAGCGCTCTACCGAATAGTTTTCCGTGGTATCCATGTCGTTTCAATGCAGTGCGCACGTGCACCGTGTCACTGCGCGTGCATGGTGATGGCGACGGTCTGCTTTGAATTTTTTTAATGCAGACAACCGTGTCGTCACTATCGAGGGAATGTCAGAATAGGCACTGATGGAAACTCCCTAAAAACATGATGAGGAGAACGACAGATATTCGGAGGTCGACTGGTCACGCACTTCTATCTTGTGCTGCGCCGTGAATTCGCAGGACTGTAACCTTCGAAATTAGCCCATTATCTCAAGCAACAGCACGATGATGTGTTGAATGCAATGCAATGAATGCGATAGCAATGAATTTTAATAATATACAAAATAAGGCTGGCAGCCAGCTCTTTTGGATCCATTATCGTGGAACTCCTACAGAATGCTAGTGTAAGCAAACATGGCCACTCTATGGAAAAGTGCTTTTTTCGCAGAGCCTGATAGCGTTGAAAGTGCACTGATGCTTGCCGAGATAGCGCATGCACCAGAGTCCTTAAAATTAGAGGTCACCATAGCTAGTCAAGCGACCCCCCCCCCCCCCCCTCACATTTTTTCAGGCTCATTCAAGATGGGTGGTTTCTTTTCTGTTTGAGCATTTGATGGCAGTTATGACATATAAAGAGATGTTATCGTATGTGCCCTTTAGGCGATATATATGGGCCAGCTCATTTGATCTCCACTTCAGCAGCATTTGCATGCTTTCACCAGCTCGTGAAAGTTATAATGCACAAGTGCATGTTATCAATCTGGACTTGTTACGGAATATGGCGGCGATGGTGAAAACCTCGCCGAGTGTGTCCATATGATTGCTGTAGCAATAATAACGCAGTTGTTCTACCGCTAAATAAGTGTTTTGGGCTACCTTTGCTTTCAATTTGGGTGCATATATTCCCAATGTTTGCACTAAACCTGCATATGACGAAATCCTCTTTATAACGAATTCTTCAGGGAATTGGTCAATTTCGTTATATCCAAGTTGAACTGTAGTTATGAATTTCAAGTAAAATGTACAAGCATGACGCGAAACACCAAAAGGAACAACATGATAATGGAGGCATGCCTGCCTGGTGCTTCATGTGAGGGCAGTATGAAAAGATGGAGAGAGATCTTGTAAGGTCAGCGACCCACTTCTATTTTTTGTTGCATCACCTTACTGTCAGTGAGGGACACAAACAAGCGCAGACTACTGATCTGTGATGAGGTGCATTGTCAGTATTCATAGATGCAGCATCGAATGTTATGGCTTTATTGCTGGCAGTTGTGTAAGCTTTCGAAAAAACTTCAGCATTCACGTCCTGCGCGTATTCTTTAAAAGAATGAACACCGACTAACGTGAAGCTTCACAAACATTGCGGCATGGTCTGTCCTCAGTATTGCTAGCGGCTTCTACGGATGAAACTCAAATACATAAAGACAAAGTAAGAAATAGGCGTGGCATTATACTAGAGGATGTATCAGCGAAAGGTGTGTACACATGTCATATGTCTGATAAGCGATAATCTATTTTGTATACTCAGTGACAATGAAAAATCATGGTTGTCAGCAAAGGTGACACTGATTTTTGTAGCACATATATTTTGTGGGAAAGTGCAAAATTAACTACCCCCGAATGAGGCTGGAGTCGTCCACTGTTACCTGCTCTGCATTCCCTGCATCACCGCGCAGACAATAGTAAAATGTCTCAAAAGCAGATCAAAGCATCATAACTGAGCATGACGCAAAACCTGCGGGAACATCTGCAGTGCGCATACAGTGTGGGGGGGACCGCAAGGTGACATTGAGGGGAGAGACTCACGTTGCCAGTTACAGATATGCACCACCAGTGCCCCTCTGCGGCAACTTTGTTGCTTTTCGGCAAAGTCCCCTTGCGAGGTTTGCCAGCAACCATTCTGGAAGGGCGGCATTTTTGGCCAGCATGCTCAATGTTAACTTTTCCTTATTTTATTGCTAGCCTCTCGTACTTAAAAGCCATTTCTTTCGGATACAGACTTTCGAAATAAAAATGTTATGAGAGCCAAACTCCTGATAACCTCAGCACACCGAGTTTAGGTTGAGACTGAAACACTTTACAACAGGTAAAGGGAGACTGAAATGACTAAGAAAAAGTTGTTTATTTCTTTTTAAATTATCGTACTCACTCACGTAATGAACACACTTTTTTCCCCGAAAAATCAGAGCAAAATTGTGGGTACGTTTATTATGCGGAAAAATTTTTATAAAAACTTTCTCAGTATGAGCAAAAAATGCGACAATGCAAAGAAAGTTAGGTCGCTCAGCACTTCACTCATCTTCGGTGGTTCAAGGCACTATTTTCTGCAAGCTGTGCCTGTGCCACCCATGCACGCCATTTAGGCATTTCGCGACTATGTTTTTCTCACCATCATTTAACCGCGACAGCAGTATCTGCTGTGATCTCGAGGGGCACCCAGAAGTCTACGCTACAATGCTACGACGCACTTAGGCAACTTTGTGGCAACTTGGTATGACGAACATGACGGGTCAGGCTTTATTAGCTCTGCAGTTCATGCTGCTTTTCTTGGCAGAACTGAATATATTGTGCTCAGAAAGAAGCTTGCTGTCAATTAAGCTGTTAAAAACAACTTTCAGCTTCCCAAAGCACATTTCTGTCTTTGACATCTCTCTGAAGTCAAAACATGTCAACCCTTGAAAGAGAGGACTTCTCTCCATAATTTTCAGTATTATATACAAAATAGACTTCCGACACTCGCTTCTTAACTCAAAAACAGGTTTGGGGCTCACTTTCCTGTTCTTTAGGATATTCTCCGCCGCATGTCCAAGATCCACCTACTCAAGCAACGTGTAAATACCAGCAACACTATTATATATTCCCAAAATTTTTGTGATGCTCGTGCTTTCTGTCAATACTGAGCGCTTCACAGACCCTGCAAAAAGGCTCCTCAAGACACTTTTAACTTCTTTTGTAAAAAAAAAAAATCTTGGGAGAATCGCTCTGAAAAACTGTCAAGGAGGGCCGCACAATGATCATAAGGTTTAGCGAAAAGTTCAGTTTCGCAAGTGCAAGCGGGTCCTTAGAGAAGTGCCGACATTCTCGTAGGCTCTATATTTTGGCATGGGTAGCCTGTGGTCACCTAAAACTTCGGTGTAGTGCTTCAAGTGCTCCCACATTGGCAGGGCTCTCTCCAGTACTAGCACATTGTCGACATGACAGTGGAATACAAAAGGAAGTAGCTTACTACCTGTCCCTTTGGTGGGAATAAATAGGAAATGAGTCTTTTACGAGGCAGCCCAATATTATTTAAAGCGAAACACAATGCACCGTTGATTCTGCCTGCACAAGTTTTAGACACCTGCTCCGATGGATCGCAGCACTGCCCGCACATGCATAATGCCGTGAACATTGCCTAGCTCGAGAAGATGCGAAGATAGCAGACTAGCGAGATTTAAGAACTCTAGATTGGATGCTCCTTAGATTGGATTCATCTCCAATCGAAATTAGTTACCAGGTGCTGTAACGGCTGTGCCATTTAAAACTGAAACTCCCTGATGCTTTTTAGTCAGCACAGTTTGTTTACAAGGTCATTCATAAACGAAAGGGCCTTTGAAATGAGCGTGACTTACAGAAATATGTCGTCAATTTTCTCTAGTGGAACAAATCCCACAACATTTTTAAGAATTACAAAGAGTACACGAGAACTCAAGGAGTTTCAAGGGCCCTAAAACTTGTATTGTCAATATTCAGGGTATTCCAGGATTTAAAAGGGGCTGTGTGAACCCTGTGATGATCACAGTGCAGTTGCAGCTGTTCGTGGTGCCCTGACCATACAGCACGGTATATATAAGAAAGAAACACAACACAGATGTAAAGAAAGGTAGCCACTAAACTTCCAACTGTTTATTTCATGCCATTCACATCAATCTTATACATGTGCAAGAAACAGAACTTGGCTTGTACGTGATCTTGGAAAGTCATTTGCTTTTCAATCGAAGCAATTGATGATGAACTCACAAGAAGCTTTCCATATCTGTTATAGCTTTGGCTCTTATTTCACATGTCAGCCTATTCTTAGACCAGTCAATAATGATACAGCTGTACAGATTAGGAGAGCACCTACAGTTTTTATTGTGTGCCGAACCCTCCCGCTGAAAGTCTATTTCTTGCATTGTAGCTTTGTTCACGTAGTCCATCATTCAGACACCGCATAGTCAGCCCTATATAGTACTTCCCGCACGATACTGAAAGAACTTGTAGACTACGCAGCACTCGCAATCAACAAATCTAACCTGGTGTCTCTTGTCGCAGGCCAAGTGAGCAACATCATTTGTGCATGTCAACTTGCAAAGTTCCCCTAGTTTATTACGGGTTGCATATGTTAGCCTGCTGAGCAATATTTTCAAGTTATGGGAAATAGTGTGCACATATGGTATCACACCTACTCTGCAGCCTGAACACTCTAAATCTTCTTCTCTGTTTTCGTTGCTTTAATCTTTCAGGATGTGTTTGGCGGCAGACACCTGTAGCAGAACTGGATACCCTGCTTTAGTGAGTCGTTTGCTATGAGTCTTGGAACTGAATGTGTGTGATTCTGTGATTTTTGTGAAGTTTTTGTGATGGTATCAGCCATCGGTACACCAATTCTTCAAATCAGGAGAGCTGGTGTGTGTGAATATAGCTTTCATGCTAGACACAGAATGTCCAAGGAGTGTACATTGGTACTCCACATAGCTATCCTCAACACACTGGGTCTGGAATGTGCATCTTAACGCCAAAAGAGCTGTCCTAGGCACCATTGTTAGACTGCCATTTACTGATATTTGCAGTCAATGCTGAGCAAATGAAGAATGGTCATTGCTCCCATATACCCTTGCACTGAGTGGCTAAACGAACTTTTTTCACCGGCGCCTTCTGTGCATGCGCACCAGAAACTGTAACACCCTTGAACATTCTTGGAGGTTTGTGGCATATGAAACCTGTCGTCTCACCATCTCAGACGTCATGAATGCGAAGGAATGCCCAAGCTCCCACACTGTCTCGTCGGCCGAGAAGCCACCAAATTTGGTTTTGGTGCTCGCCACTAGGGGCTCTGTACCTATCATGAAAAAAGTCCATTATGTCTCCACTGTGATTTTAGGTTTTACGAAAGGCATCGAGATCCAAAAGGCCTTAATTCCTTTGCCGAAGCGGCCAGACTGAACAAACCATACAAAAAAAAAACTCAAGCAAACATACCTCCATGCAGAATGTTAGCGAAGACTGCCTCTGGGCTCTGGTCACAGAAAGGTGGGATTCCTGTCATGAACTCGTACAGACATATGCCAAGGGCCCACCAGTCCACAGGTGCACCTGAAGAACAGAATTTGTGCTTGCAAAGACATCGTCTGTCTCAGCTCAGTTTCTTTTTTTACAAAATTAAAAACGATGACAAGCAAGTGCTTGTAATAGCATAACATACAAGCTGCACCATTCATGCGCTTCAAGGGCTACTGACACAAAAATTTTGGCCTCGCAATTTATTGCTTCAATGCATTGTTGGGGGCCCGTTAGTCATAACACGACACGTTGAGACTGAAACACAAGTCACCTTCATAATTCAAATAAATATGTCATGCAGCAGTGCATGACATATTTATTTATTCCCAAATACTGCGAACACGTAGTCCAAGCAGGGAGGGCAAATAAAATGGTACAACAGTGAACATTCCGAAAACAAAAGAATAAATGAAACATGAACCCTAATACAGAAATAGAGTCAATACGTTTGGCGAAACCCTATACAAACAAATTAATAATAGTCAGCATTTTGGTGTTGATTCGATTATGCAATTCCATTCAGTTATCGTACGAGAGAAAAAAGAATTTTCAAAAGTATTTGTTCTCGCGAAGTAGGGTGTTAATGCATCTTGTCTACGGTGACGAGTGGTTCGGGTTAATAGGGGCGACAGATATCATGATGAGTCTAGGGGTATATTGTTCGTGTAAACTAGTCTAAAAAATTCCATTCTGTGTTTGTGTCTTCTCATATCAAGTAATTCAATGCGGTTAGCGTTCATGAGTTATGTGAGTGAGTCCTGTCTTGAGAATTTGTTAAATATAAATCTAACTGCCTTTCCCTGCACTCGCTTGAGGTTATTGGTATTAGTTTTTGTGTACAGATCCAAAACGATACATGCATATTCTAGTTCGGTTCTGATTAGGGTGCTATAGCATAGCAGTTTTATGTTGGAACATGCTTTTTTAAGTTTGTGCCTCAAGAGGCACAATTTTCTGAAACCTGAGGAGCAAGTTTTACTGATGTGGTCATTCCATGTTAACACGTTGTTAAAGGTGACTCCTAGATGCTTGTATTGGGTTACTTCATGCAGGGGGGATGAACCTAATTTATACGTATGAAGCAAGGGTGATTTCTTATGTGTCATTCCCCAGTGCATGCACCATCCAAGAATACTATTTAAACTAATATGTAAGCTAATTTGATCATTGATAGAATTGTTGTCTTCAAAAAGCACGCGATCATCGGCAAATGATTGAATCTGGGCACCACCTTCAACCATAGTAACAATGTCATTAATGTATATAATAAAAGGGAGAGGGCCGAGAACACTGCCCTGCGGCACAGCTGATGTGACTGGAAATGAGCCCGATTTTTCACCATTATTTCCACGAATTGATGCCGGTTTGTTAGATATCCCGCAACCCAGGAAATTAACAATCCTGGGATTCCTGCGTTTACGAGCTTCAGAATTAATTTATCATGAGGGACAGTGTAAAAATCTTTTCGGTAGTCTAGAAAAATTATGACAATTTCGCCGTTTTCGTCAAGAATTGACGCAAAAAAATGAACAACAGTGATCAGCTGTGTGACAGTCGAATGCCCCCTCCTAAGCCCATGCTGACACTTAGTTAAAACAGAATGCTTCTCTAAATATGTAGTTATGCTGTTTGCGATTATATGTTCAATAAGTTTGCAGCATGAGGAGGTTAGAGAAATAGGACGTTAATTTACAACGAGAAGATGATCTCTCTTCTTATGAATTGGTGCGATGCGGGCTGTTCTCCAGTCACTCGGTAATTCTTACAATAACAGTGACGTACGAAATATTATAACAAGAAATTTTGATAAAGTTACCGCATATCTACGAAGAAATCAATTATGGATATTGTCAGGTCCACTAGAACTTTTGGGTTTGAGGTTTAGCAACATAGCAAGTACACCCGGTTTCCATATAAAGCTTGCATCAGAAAGTTGCGGCACTGTACACTTGTGTGAACAATCACTAGAATTAGAAAAAACATAGTGAAAAAACTTATTAAAGTGATTGGCAAGTTGTAGCTTATCAGTAACCATATGTCCATTCACTGTCATTTGCGATATTGTTTTTTTCTTCTCGGCAATGTAATTCCAAAGCTTACTTGGACCATTTTTACTGAAATTAGGCAGGGACGTAGTAAAGTAATAGTCCTTCGAATTACGCACCGCAAGCGCGAGCTCGTTTTGTGATTTCGATATCAAGTTTGGCTGCTCACGTGCCAGCTTCAATCGCTTCATTTTGCACTTCATATAAATAATGTTACGATTGATCCATGGTGTTTGCTTGTGTACTCGTTTTTTTTATTTGGTATCAATTTGTTTAGACAAAAATGACATATCTTTGAAGTGAGTCCAAAGCATGTTCACATTACTTTCATCAAAATCAGTTAAGCAGTTTTCCAAGTAATGAATCACACATGTGTCATTTGCGTAAGAATAATCTTTGACAGAATGGGCACATGATTTATCGGTTTTTCTGCAGGAGGCAAGCAGCAAGAAAATATAGACAAGATAGTGATCTGATAGCCCGGGCTGGACAACCACCGTGGATTCAACAAATTGGCGAGCAAAGAATACCAGGTCTAAAACGAATGATGAAGAATCTTGCACGCGAGTAGGTTCAACTACACCTTGCACGAGATCGTGGGTTAACATGATATCAAAAAGTATGTTAACATCCCGGTTGTGATGAAGCCCAGAGTCAAGGGGCACCCAGTCTATACCAGGGGAATTAAAGTCACCTACAAGAATAATCTTGCTACTCAAGTATTTATTCATAATACAGGATAATTCATGCAAAAATTCAGGGGCGGCGTCAGGGGGCCTATAACTGCGAAAAGTACAAAGCTATAGCCCCAAAGCGATACCCTCATGCACAGGCATTCTAACAAGGGTATTGTTTCCAGAACAGCAGCTTCAACTTGATTTTTAACTAGGACTGCCACACCTCCTCCCCTAGAAGACCTATCTACTCGATAAACATTGTAGCAAGGGAGAAACACATCTTGGTCGTCAATTTCCTCGTGAAGCCAAGTCTCAGTAATAACTGTAATATGGTGGTCATGTTGAAGTAACAGTATCTCAAGCAAAGTTGTTTTATTTAAGACACTTCGAGTGCTAACATTAACTATTCACAGATGCTTATTTCGCCGATATACGTTATTTCATGCTTCTGTTTGCCGAGGGGGGCCTTGCGCAGCCTGTACGCGTTTATTTTGCGATTTGCCCTAAAAATAGATAAGCTTGTCTACCTTGAGTTTGTCGTGTTTAAGTGACACCTTCTTTCCTTGAAGCTTATCATTTCTTGCACTTTCCCACAGAAGCTTGCACTTATTTAATGTGGACTGCGAATAGTCGTTTTGAATGAAAACGTTAGTTCCCTTCAATTTTTTAGCATTCTGAAGTATTTCTTTCTTTTCATTCAAAATCTGAAGATATAAAATTATGGGTCGCTGGTCACCTTGCCTGCCTAGCCTATGCATACGACCAAGGGATTGACACTGTACAGTTAGTTTGTCATTAAATACACCCTTGACTACTCTATCTTTCAGTTTATTTTCTGTCTCGTTTGGAAGTTCGGGTATCCCATGGATTATTATGTTTAAGCGCCGGCTACAATATTCGGGATCTTCTAGCTTTTGAGATTGAAATGTAATAATACGTTCAATGCATTGTAAACTATTGCTCCTTGCTGGTGGATTATCTGTTGTTTTAGTGATCTGGGTCTGCATTTTTGCGAACATATCGTGAATCTCTAGAACCAGCTTCTCCGTTTTCATGAAATGCGTTTGCAGTGCCTGCATATCATTACGAAGCACCTGCCCATCAACTAACTGCTTAAGCATTTCGGTATGAGTAGGACCAGGATTAACTTCAACATCACCGCAAAGCAGCAGCTTGCACACGAATAGACACTCATACGCCATAGCTAGACATCGCCGTCCATAATTATTTACAAGCCCCTCATTACCAAGTACTTTCAGTTTCAGTTTAGGAGGGCTTAAAAAAACTGCAAGCAGCTATTACCACCTAGCATGTGCAGTACTCGACTATGTCAGCATACAGAACTGACACACTTACGCTCAGTCTTCATCAAGAAGTCCTTTCGAACAAAAAACGTGACAGCAGTGATGCCAAACACAGAACTTTGAATGGATGTGCCTAGGCCACGAGCTCGCGAGCAGCCACCAAGAAGTATAGAATGCTAGAACAAATGCAGCAAAAAAAAAAAATGGCAGCTATAACGTAACAATTCAAGGCTGTCCAGAAGACCCAGGATGCAGCGGTGAGGCTAGGCCTTTCCATCCCTATGTGGGAGCGGCCCGTGATCCAACCCTTATAAAATAGGGGTGAAATCTTTCAGGTGCCCAATAAAGCTTTTTATTCATCTAACCATTGCAGTGTGGTGACATGTCGGAAGTCAGGGCGTTCCCATGGGGTCTCTTTTGATGGTGTCAATACCTTCAAAATTTAAAAATTTTAACTTCAGTATTCATATAAAATACCTTTTAAGCTATATTTGCTGTTATTATTTTGCAGATGATATACGCATGTTCACAGTAATCGATCCCGCAAGCTGTCTGGGCTTCGAAAATTTGTCAGTGGTACCCCTTTAAATACATCTAAGATCACCTTCACGAATGCATAAAAACCAGTTTGCTTCTAGTGAAGCTTTGAATGACAGCATCTTGCAAAGAGTATGGACAAGGGCAGAAAAGGAGGGTCTTATGTCCCTGTAAATGTTTCAGAACCAAGTGTGATGCACATGCTTGAACATAATGTACTCAGTAAGACTTGCCAAAAAAACCGTGATGAAGGCGAAATAGCTCAGAAAAGCTAACCAGATGTTGGTCATTTTCAGAGCCCTCCCATCCTTCATATTCAGATTGTGGTTTTGAGATGGTAAACCCTAGATTTTATAATATTATTATTAAAATTAGAAACCTCAATTCTTTTTTCTAGAGAGCCTGGTCTTCCTCGTCTGCGTTTCACGCAAGTGAACAATTTGGTACGCGGTACTCACTACCTAGAATGG